GGGGATGGGTTAGCCTGGTGATCGGTATTAAAGAGGGCACATTCTGCGTGGAGCACTGGGTGTTATGCACAAACAATGAATCATGGAACAATACATCAAAAACTAATGATGTAATGTATGGTGATTAACATAACAATAAAAAATTAAAAAGAAAATTTTAGTCTATCCCAAAGTGAGTTCCATGAGCCTCTTATGGCAGGAGATATGAAAAAGCAGAAAGATGACAATGTTGGGTAAAAAGAGGAGAGATATAAAGGTTAAATAATTGAGATCAAGCCTAATAATTTCTGGATAAAATCAAGAAAGATGTATATACTGGCATGCACTGACTTTTTATTATTATACAGAATAAAAACCATCCTAGAAACACTTCAGCATAAAAATGAGATTCTCAGGTATGAAAAACAAATTAATCCTATTAATTATTCAGATTTGTTAACCAATTAATTAATGCCAGAAAATAATGAAAGCATTATATACAGATCTTTTTAAAGGAAAAATTATTTGTGGGCCAAGTATTTTAACATCAGTTAAATTTTTCTTGAAGTACAAAGGCCAAAGAAAGACAATTTCAGATAATATATATAGGCTCAGAAAATATTCTATGAATAAATCTTTCTTGAATGTAAGTCACTTAAAATAGCTACTGATTGACCGTAAAATGAATTACAGTTAGGACTTAAGGAACAAAGAAAGTGGTTGACTTCTCTCAATAGGTAATGTTTCCCAACTATCATAAGAGACCTGAGGAGAAATCATTGTTCAGGCCGTAATTATACTCATACAAAATTACTGGTAGATGTGGATGCTTTGCTGTCTCCATTTACATTGGCATCTGTATACAACTAAAAGAGTATAATTTCGATGTGGAAAATTATACTTCACGTTAAAACAAAAGAAAAAAGAAATTTCCCTAGAAATTTCCCTCCTTCAAATTAAGGTTTACTACTCAATTCATTTACTTAATTAAATGTTTGTATTAAACTAAATATTGTATTAATAAATACCATGTTTGGAAAGGATATAGTACTAATATCTGATGGATGTTTCTTTTATTCTTAGTTTCATCATAATTTCCATTAAAAGTATGAACATTAGGGGCGCCTGGGTGGCTCAGTCGTTAAGCATCTGCCTTCGGCTCAGGTCATGATCCCAGGGTCCTGGGATCAAGTCCCACATCGGCCCCCCGCCCCGCGGGAAGCCTGCTTCTCCCTCTCCCACTCCCCCTGCTTGTGTTCCTGCTCTTGCTGTCTCTCTCTCTGTCAAATAAATAAATAAAATCTTTAAAAAAAAAAAAGTATGAACATTAAAAAGTACTAAAGATAGGAAATTTTTTTTCTGAATGCCATACATGAAATCTGTATTTTATATAGTTCAATTAAATGAACTTCATCTACTCAAGTTTTTACATCTTTGTGAAGAATTTCTTTTGCATTTTTCTCCTACCACTTATGATTTTCAGGGAAGCCCTGAGTCACAGTGCTGTACAGGCAACCCCTTCAAGACTAATTTGTTCAGCTAACACACTAGGGCTCCAGAATTTATAGGGGAATATTGAGCTGACTTCCTCTGATTTTACCGGACTGTTACGGGAAACTAAAAGATCCTCAGATAACCTTCCTCATTACGCTCCCTCTTGACATTGTAAGGAAAAAAAATACCCACAGAATACCAAACCATGCTAATCAGAGCGAACAGAAGAAAATAACTTTTGTAATTATTAACTTAATAATTCTCGTGACCCTTTAATTATCAATGTTATAAATAAATTATTCATGCCAGGAGTTTAAAACATAGAGATTATTATAGTATCAGTTTGAATTAGCTAACAGTGAATCTACACTCCACCTTAACATTTCTTGGATATTTTGAGAAGAACTGTAGCCAAGCCCAGCTATAACCATATGAGAAAGATAAGCACAGAGCCTACCTTTCTTTAATGAGGTCTCTAGAGAAGCTAATTCTACAACGTTTGGAAACACACTGACAATATTTAATAAAATGTACATGATGTTCTTATGGAGAGAAAGATTTAAACGCCTTTATGAAAAACATCATTCTCTCTGTAGAGTTGGGGAATTGGTCATACGGTGGTGACAACAAGGACTGCCCTCATACAGTCCCATATAGTTAACAAACTATTTTACTGAATCTGTTGTGAGATATATAAGGCAAGTACTGTGCAGGAAATACGGTGCCAGTAAATAATGTGTGTTTAATAATTTAATTTGTTAAATTGAGGTTTCACAAAAACCTTATAACACAGATAACCCTGTCCCTATTTTGCAGTTGAGGAAAAGGACTAGCTTTCTCAAGATCACACAGCAGAGACCATTTGAAAACACAAGTTGATATGAATGCTTCCACAGAGAAATCTGCTATACTGTGACTTTTTTGTTTTTAAGGAGATTGTTTTATTAGTTTAATTTTATATTTTCAGGTATTTTCTTATACTGCTGACAAAGAAATCCGAACCGATGACTTGTGCTTGGATGTGTCTAGACTCAGTGGACCTGTAATCATGCTAAAATGCCACCACATGAGAGGAAATCAGTTATGGGAATATGATGCTGAGGTATAGTCTTTTCCTTAATTTACTTATTATTTAATGCTTAAACTCAGTTATATATTTCAAATACGCTTCAATCCTAAGCTCTTTTTCTACCCTGGAAGAACTGTATTTTCAAGCATGCATGCTCCTATCTAATAGCATTAGGATGGTATAGTATATAAATAGGGTTTTGTCAAAGGAGTTCATTAGCATAAAAAATGAATAAGGAAAATAAAGTCATTTTTATGTGCTTACAGTGTGTTAGCACGTGTACGTGCTTAACATAAATTAGGCAAGGGACCAGCTATGCTTATCTGAGAGGTATGTATGAAGATGCACATTATAGGACAATATCAACAATATTTCCATTTTTCAAATTTTAAATTGTATACTGTTGTAATTGGTGAAATTTATCCTTCTCAATTTAAGGGGAAAAAAAAGAAAAAAGCTGATAAGATTAGCATGAATGCTCTTTATAATAGTAAATACTTTGCAAAATTCAATAAACTAATTAGGCACATAATCAGCTAAGCGGCATTTTCTCAATATAGCACGTCTTTCTGGTAGAAGAGAAGGAGAGAAAACAATAAAATTATGGTTGGGAATTTATAGCCAGGCAGTGTGTAAAAACCAGATCAACCATCAGATGGAGCTGCTAAAAAAGAAATATTTTCTTCTCCATAAGGAAGTTGCCTTGAAACAGTTTCATTTCTTTCTGTTCTCTTGGCTTAGCAAAATGAATTGGGTCATCTGTGTTACATTTTCCACATTATTAAATGGTTGGTGACTTATTTAAGATAAGAAATAAGCTACTCTTGCAAGATAAATAATGCACTAGAGGCAAATGAATTTCACAAATGCAGTGTTCTACCTAAGCCTAAGATACACTTCCAGTGTAACATTTTAAAAACTACAGAGTCCTTGGTATTACTGATACTGCAACAAGGTCTTCTTTTTAAAAACTTTTTGAATGTTATTTCAATTTGCATGATGTTGTAGTTTCTTAGCAGGAAAACTTACTGAATTTTTATGTGATTTGAAACTGATTGTGTAGGGTTAAAATTTGGCTTTAAAATTTATGTAATATAGCCATGCTCTTTGGACATACAATACCCTTCTTCTGGGACATAAGGAAGGGCAAACGTCCCGAATCTTTCCTATAATGCACCAGTGTGTTCTGTTCAGTCTCTTGTCTCCCCAATACCTCGTTTACCTCTGTGTGACCCCCATTTTTTTCTCTTGAGGTCTCATCATCACCACTCTTTATATTAAGACTGCAGAAGATATTTCCTTCAATAATACATGGGGGTAAACCTGGAACCTTGGTTCCCTCCCTCTTCTATTAGGAAAAGTACAGATAAATGTACAGATAAAGGAGAAATCCTGCAAGTAGTATTTTTTAAAATAATTTGTTATTGTTGTTGCTATTGCTCTTTAGTTTTCACCAGGAGCCCAGAACTTCACTGGGCTTGCGCTAAAAGTAAAGAAATCTAGCATGTATTTCTAAGGAAAGGGGAATGAGTGTACGTACTTTTTATAAGATGAAGCGGTGCTGAATTTCAGAATACCACTTAAAATCTTCAAACTTTTATCTTTGAGTAGATGATGGCTGCTATAGTCATAACTCAGATTCTTTAATTTCTGAAATAACTATATTGTTGGTACATAGGTGTATATTTTATGTTTTTATCAGCCAGTAGAAAGACTGTTGAATACTGAGGGATTTTGACAGAAAAGAGAAAAGAAAATAGGTTGCTTCACCTAGGACATAGAAATGATTTTTGTAAATTTACTATTTTGGATAACTAATAGTTATATATTGTAGGATTTTTCAAGCATTGTGATATTTTGTATCATGTAAACTTTGTTTCTAGAACACACACAAAAAAGCTTATAATATGCCATAAATATTGAGAGATGGTTTTTAAATAAACAATCTGATCATTGCAATGATTATGTAACATGGCTTACTCTACTCTCCTATATGTTTATGTTTTCAAAATTCAATTGTGATGTTCAACCTGCCTAAATTTAATATTTTAAATCAAAGTATAGATTTTTTGCCAAATTTATGAATGTATAAATCACAATGTAGAGAAGTCACAAAAAAATCAAATAATTGTAGGAATCATGAATTGCCTTTCTGGAAATTTCAGCTTTGAATAAGATTGATTTTATTTGTGAAAAAGAAAGAGCCTTTTTTTATTTTAAAGAAATTGAAATACAATACTTGGGGTCACTTTAGTCTACAGAATAGTCCCAACCCTTGCCACCCAAAGTGTGATTCTGGGACTAGTAACATCACCTGGGAACTCTTTAAAACTTAGGAATCAGAGAACCCTACTAGACACACTGTATCAGAGTCTGCCTTTTAACAAACCCCCAGGTCAGGCACCTGGGTGGCTCAGTCGTTAAGCGTCTGCCTTCGGCTCAGGTCATGATTCCAGGGTCCTGGGATGGAGCCCTGCATCGGGCTCCCGGCTCCGCGGGAGGCCTGCTTCTCCCTCTCCCAATCCCCCTGCTTGTGTTCCCTCTCTCGCTGTTTTTTTCTGTGAAATAAATAAAATCTTAAAAAAAAAAAAACAAATCCCCAGGTCATTTACATACATATTGAACTTTGAGAAGGACAGGTCTAGACAGTGGCTAAACATCTACTTATCTTCCTTAGTCTTTTTATACACTGTTGGAATTATTGTAGAGTTAGGAAAAAGCATAAATACGCTTTGGAAGATGACAGGCCTCAAGGAGAGTTGGGGAGGGGGAGGGACCCCACAGGTGGGAGAGGCTGAGATGGGAAAGAGGAGTCATTGCCAAGTAGCCCTGGTCTGGCATCCACCCTGTGGGAAGTAGAAAGTACTCCTTGCTACTTCTTTAATTAAATTCTTTATCTACTGCTGTCAAAGGCAAAATTATTTTTGAGAAACCTCTGAGGTGGTGTACTATCAAAGCAGAATAAAACTTGGTGGAGTGCACAGAATTACAAGAGCTGAAACTTTTCTTAAGTTCTCTTCTTTCAGCCTGTATCAGGAGGAAAGTAAGCACAAAGATCACACCACCAGCAGCAGGGACAGAGTTCAGTTCTAAGAAAGTAATCCAAGGGGCGCCTGGGTGGCTCAGATGGTTAAGCGTCTGCCTTCGGCTCAGGTCATGGTCCCAGGGTCCTGGGATCAAGTCCCGCATCGGGCTCCCTGCTTCTCTCGCTCTCTCTCTCCCTCTGTCTCTCATGAATAAATAATAAATAAAATCTTTAAAAAAAAATAAAAAAAAAAAGAAAGTAATCCAAGAAAGCGAGTTACCAGTACAATGTGAATCTCGCAGTGTGAAGAGCTCAAATATTCCATCACTTCATCACCCATAATACTTGCAGTTTTAGAAAAGCAAGTCGTAAATAGGAGGAGAATTATTGGAATATGTAGGGAAAAGCTGAAACAGTATCGTAAAGCCTCAAAACATGGAGTCTATCCAGTTTGCTTCTTAGGTGAGTGATGGGGGGAAAGAAAGGGAATGAAATTTATTGAGTGTCTAAAATTTCATGTTTTCTCAAGCAACTCTAACAATAGGCCGAGAAGATAATATTATTATTTGTATTCCTCACAATATTAAATGTAAGCTTAGAGTGTTTAAATAGCTTCTCTAGGTTTTAGACCTCAGGTTTCTGGCACTGAATTTAGTAATCTTTCTACTATACTACATTGCCTCTTTCTACTATACCACATTGAAAAACTGGGAACAATTAGGTGCTTTTAATGATGCTGATCTGAAAAGCTAAATGTATTACTATAATAAATGAAAGGAATTATTAAATATTATCAGTTATTTGTGGTACCAAATTTTATTCACATAGAATTTCTCCTTTCCTTAGTAACTGGAAAGATATTCTGCAATAAATATTATCTATTTAGTTGAACAGTCATAAAACTACTTTGTCAGTATGGTCTGATTGCTTACAAACTTTACACATATTCATAATATAATTATGATCTAATTGCTTCTCCTTTTATTTGAATGAAACTAAGCACATGTTGGTAATAAATACATGTCTTTGGCCAACTTTGATTCGAAATATAGAGGTTCCTACCTTCTTAGCTAAATATTTTTTAACAGCCATGATTTTAATTCGGTACCACTTTATAGTGGTTAAATGTGTTCAATTTGAGGGCAACTGAGCATCATTAGCAAAATTACAAGATCCTCCCCGGTCTAGAATCTCTTAAATTACCTGAACACTTTGTTGCTATGAAAGCCATTGCCACAGAATTAAAACAAAAAAAAGGAACCCTAAATTTCATCTCACTGAAACATTTTAAGGATGATTTTCAGGGACGCCTAGGTGGCTCAGTCGGTTATGCATCTGCCTTTGGCTCAGGTCATGATCCCGGAGTTCCAGGATCGAGTCCTGTGTCGGGTTCCCTGCTCAGATGGGGGTCCGCTTCTTCCTGTCCCTCTTCTCCTTCTCTCTCTCTCACTCACTCTCTCAAATAAATAAATAAAATCCTTAAAAAAAGATTATTATTATAAAGTCCTATCATCCATCCATTCAATTTTATTCAGATTTTCTTATATTCTGTTTGAACATTGCAGTTGTGTTCCAATCCATCTGAAATTTACATTTTCTGACAATAAATGCACATAATCACATTTCTTTTAGAACATCCAAGCAGCTATATACAGTGTAAGGATCTAATTTTAGAACAGAACACTTATGCTCAACAAACACTATGCAACAAAGAAAAAAATAAGGGAGCAAAATATGATGCTAAAAATAAGTCTTGTTTTTCATGTGACTGAGCAAGTTGACTGAGAAAATGAATTCAATATCCATCTGTATCCAATGTTTCCCAGAGTCACTAGATAAAGGATTTTTTTCAGTAGGTAAAATATGTCTGATTGATATTTACTGAAATCACAGAAGCTTATATTTAGACTTTACTTAAAACCTCCTCTTTTATTTATTTACCTTTATCAGAAAGCAGGTAAATGGCAATATAATTTCAAGGTAAGTAATCTATAATGGCAACCCGGCC